ACCAATTACTTGTTAAGGTTTTGTGCCTTTGTACAGTCAGTGGGATCAGTTGCAATGCATATATGTGAATGATAAAAGTAAATTGCACATTTGTCTAAGGAAATCTTAGGTGCTTCATGAAATGTTTTGTAAAAGATATGTTCATTAAATTTCAACATTTTCCGACTGTTCTTGTGCATCTTTAGACCAAAACAAAGGAAAGACATGTTATTTGGGTTATTTCTAGCAGAGTATGGTATAATTTTTAATGATCCGGCCCACTTGACATCTACCGAGGCCGTATGTGGCCCACAATGTGAAATGAGTTTGACACCCCTGGCCAAGAAAGCAAAATGACAAAACGACACGATCTCTTTGTGCAACTCGTCTTCAATCGAAAACGAAGTTGGCTTTGCAAACTATCTCCTGATCTCAGGATGGCATTCTGAAGGCAGGCAGTAGGAAATACTGGCGTGGTCGATGGGTTATGGGTGAGGTTGGAGTGCCATCACATCGCCCACAAGAGACGCCAACCGTCTCACCAAATATGTTCTTTTTTTTTTAACCTTCAAAACCTCGTGTGGTCGGCTGCCTTTGATTACATATAAAATTTCGAAATTTTCGCAGCAGAATGGCCAAATGGTAAAAGACCTCGCGTGGTGATCAGGCGAACCGAGCTGTTAAGAAGTCTCATTTCAACAAGCCTGTTTTCATTATTCAGAGTTGAAGGAAGATTGTTCTTGGGTCCTCCGTGCCACAAGAGGGAGTAACTTGCTCATCGCCAGAGTCCACCTACGAGCACAGACCTGCAGGCAACACTTTTTGCTCTTCTTCCTGTTATTCGCAAGGTGCTGAAGTCAAACTTTGGGCCAGCCTGAAAAGTAGGAGACATTTACACTCGTTCAATGCACCATCATGACTACTTTTTTTTTCCCCTCCCCCAGGCAGCAGTAAACATGATTGGCTTCCTGCTCTCGAAAGACCCAACACAGAGTCAATCTCCCTGGCAAATTTCATGCCCAACACATCTTTGTCTGCACAAGAAATTGACTTGCGTGTAACTCACGGATGTCTTTCCTCTCAGGTCAACACACCTGTCCCACGTTCTTCTCAAGAGCTGACCACTTCGCCGACCAGCAACAAGCAGATTGCCATCCAACTTGCAACTTTTTCCTCTGCTTTTGTGATTGTCTAATCTGCAAAAGAAATAAAGCTTGATTAGAAAGAACACTTCAACTCAACTTCATTTTTAAACACATCACCACAATCTGACTTTTAAAAAATAATAATTTAAACACAATTATTTTTAGTTTTTTCCTAAACTTTTTTCTGAATTTTTTTTCAAAAAATTTTTCCAAAAATTTTTTTTTCCTGGATTTTTTTTTCCAGGCAGAAAAATCCAGGAAAGTGGGTGTGGCCTGGCTGGAATGATGGCTGATGATTCGCTGATAGCTACGAAAGTGGGTTGAGCATGACGATAACATGCTGTGATTGGTGGAAAGGGGGGGGGGGAATGGTTATGCAAATTAGGCGTTCTCTGATTGGCGGGCGCTTTAGGGCATAATTATGCAAATTTGGAACAATCTGATTGGTCAGAACTTGGAAAGTGGGCATGGTTATGCAAATTAGGGTTAGGGTTATGCAAATGAGGGGTCTCACCGCGATTGGTGGATGTCAAATTGGGTGTGGTTTGGGGCGGGCATTGCAGCACTTTTTCAAAGTCCCACTTGAGTCTTGAGCTCAGACTTGCACTTGGGTCACATCAGAAAGTCTTTTCACTGTTCCCGACGGTTTCACATGACCCAAAAGCTCGATTCCTGGAGTTTCGAGTCATGTGGAGACCAACGGGAACAGTGAAAAGACTGTCTGATGTGACTGAAGCACAAGTCTGAGCTCAAGACGTCAGTCTTTGAAAAGGCTTCAAGTGAGTTGAGGATGGATTTGGCCATGATAGGCAAAGACTCGAATTCAAGTTGAACAATTTATTGGACAGAAAAGCGAACATGACAATGTAAAAGCATTTGACCAGTCAATCTTTGTGTGGGCCAGTTCAAGTTGCACGCACACAAACACTGACGAAAGTTCTGAAATGGGAGCATGTGCTTGACCAGCTCATGCGTGATGTCACTGACATCTCATGACACACCAAGGGGGACATGAGCACGTCCGACTTCTCTCACTGAGACAAAAACTAACTGCCGTGTACTCCACAACAACATGAGGCGGAGAAAAAATGTAGTGTGTTTCTGATAACCCAACCGACTGAGAATTTCTTTGTCGAAAAAAAACTTTACGGTCGGCATTTTTTTCAAACAACCCTCGACATTTTTGTGTAGAGGATTTACATCGGTGCAAACTCTCGCGATATTCACGTTGAGCGCGTGCATCGTTTGCCCTGTCGTCTGTCAACAACATTGAATCATGGCGGGGGCCGCGATCTCTGATAGTTTAAACCGCGTTTTCTGTGTTACAGTCGCATACTCGCACCGTAATCTTCAGAAAATAGACTTCACCTTTAAAATTGCATACCTATCTTTGTGTATATACACGCCCATGTGTGTATGTGTATATATATATATATATATATATATATATATATGCATACATAGACACATTTTTAAACTAACTTGGTCCACCTCAAGGTTTCAAAACATATTCCAGAAGTGCTTGATGATGTGTTTGGGTTGTCAAAGTGTAGTTGACACTGTTGTGCAGTACACGAAGCAGAAGTTTAAGTTGAGTGAGAGACAGGCGGGCGGGCTGGCGCACTCACCTCCACCTTGTGGTGCAACGTGACATCAGACATCAGCTCTTCAAGCACACCACACAGCTCAGTACTCACGCGTATCCAAATGCAGATTGGCGTCCCTTCCGCATGTCCTCCGAGTCTGGCGGCTGCGCTTTTGGCCCAGTAACCTGACTAATCTGGTCAGGCAGAAAAACAAAAGTGGAAAGTCACACACTGTAGTCCATAAAAAAGTTGTTTCTTTTTTTCTTTTTAATTTGAGTCATTATTCGTAAAGTGGCAGACTTTTACTTTCAACCCGTCCATTTCCAAACGTGCCCGCACTCGCAATGCATCTGCACTCGCGGCTCTCTCCCCACACCTAAAGTACAATGAGCAACCTCCTTTCGAAAAACAAATGAACAAAGTCACGGGTGCATTTGTGGGAATAGTTTTGAAACAAATCTGCCCCCCCTGATGTGAAGCCATCACACTTCCACTGCTGATAGCAGCTTTGGTGTGGAAAACATACGGTGTGGAAAACATACAGAATAGTATTCAAGTCAAACGCTGTTCGCGATTGCTTTTTGATTGACAGCTGAGGTCTAATTGTCGGCGGCGTGCTCGCTCACTGCCCCATTTGCTGACGTTGTTTGTTACGTTGAGTCACAAGAACAAAATTAAAGGAGCAACGTGTCATAATAACTCTCCCCAATTGTCTACATCTATACACTCAGAGATAAACTGCGAAGTCAGTTTAAAATGTTAAAATTACTCACTGAGAACAGGGCTTAAGTGGACAGCGGAAAAACTTGCTCATTGAACCGGATGCGGTACCGTTCTTGTGCTTGTACTTATTCTTCTTCTTGGTGAATTGGATGTCTTTAGTTCATATCGCCCCCTACTGTCCGGGAAACCAATCTGTCCCGTCAGAGAGGGTGTTCTCAAAGACAGGACAAATTGAAGTGTTCCAAGTTCAAGTATTTAGTTTTGTTGACTGCAAATTTAAAATAAAGCAAGGAGTAGCTTATGTTTGTTTTGTTCACTGCTGATGTTGCAGTTAATACTCACTATTTTTGTTATGATGCAGCATGTTTGATTGTTGTTGTTTGAAGTTTAATTTTGTTGCTTGTTTATTGTTTGGAGCCTTTTTAATGTTCAATAAAATAAGTAAAAAGCCATTTCTTTGCTTGATAATTGTTGCTATTTGCAGTCAGTAGAGTGCAATATTTAGTTCACCAAGTCATTTATCAAAATGTATGCTAAATTTGTCATGAATATTTAAAAGAAAAGCTAAAGTTAAAAGAGCCGTTTCAGAGCCAAAAAGAGCCGGCTCTTTTCACTGACCCGATCCAAATGAACCGGATGACTGAAAAGAGCCAAAAATCCCATCGCTATACCCCAATATTAATAGGTGAGCCATGGGTTGGGGTCACTGTTATTTTCTATGAATGGTGTACAAGTGATTATTTGAACATTGAAACTGTCATTATTTTCCTATAATCCATCCGTCCATCCGTTTTCCGATCTGCTCTATCCTCACAAGGGTCACGGAGGGTCCTGGAGCCTATCGCAGCTGTCTTGGGTCAGTAGACGGGGGGCACCCTGAACCCATTACCCATTGCCAGCCAATCGCAGGGCACACAGAGACAAACAACCATCTGCACTCACACTCACACCTCGGGACAATTTAGAGTTTTCAGTCAGGCTGCCATGCATGTTTTTGGAATGTGGGCAGAAACCGGAGTACCCGGAGAAAACCCACGCAGGCACGGGGAGAACATGCGAATTCCACACAGGAAGGCCGGAGCTGGGATTGAACCCGGTACCTCTGCACTGTGAGGTTGACGCGCTAACCACTCGTCCACCGGGCCTCCTTTTCCTCTAATCACATGTAATAATAATAATGATTTAAGTCAGGGCAGGACTTGTTGTTGTTTCAAAAGCGTGTATCAAACTGCTCGGCCTTCGCACTAATCAGTAGACAACAAGTATGATGAGCCACCTTGGTTCTAGGATGGGGTGAACATTGGCATGAGGCAGAACAGAACCAGATCCCCAGTCAATGGAATGGCCTCAAAGGTTGACGGTTCGAAATTAGATTGGGACCTTGATTCTGGGCAAGATCTTCAAAATATTCCACAGTAATTATGAGCAGGGCCCGGGGTGATTGCTGTTGGGGTGGCGAGGGAGGGGAGCTCGTGGCAGCGTGCCATGCGGTCACCCCCATCATCTCATCACATGAAAAGACTCTAATTAACTTCAACACCAGATCAGAATGCAATCAACAGAATCACAGAGGAAATTAGTTTGTGGGGGGGGTTTGTTTGTCTGTGGCATTCATAAGCAAGGCGTTAAAATGTATACTTGCCTCTTGTTTTTAATTAACATTTTGTGCTTAGAAGGCGTATTAATAGTATCCCGTAATGAGCTTTGTTGAAAAGGAGCCAACAGAGGACAAAGGGCAACTTCCTCTTCTGTTTGTTGATGCGATCTTCTTTCTTCTAAGATCATTCCAATCGTAATCCGTATTTAACTCCTCATTCAGTAGGAACGTCACCTCCACCACCTCCCCCCCTATTGGGGGACGAGCACATTATACGGGCAATCCTTTCTTCATTATCACAAGTGGTAATGAGATCGTTCTTGATGAGGTCGTATCATCTTCATATTAGTGAGAAATTGTTTCAAATCCTCATGTTGTCCTTAGCCATGTTGCACAAGATAAAACAAAACATATTCATTACATTTATAATCCAACTTCAATCCTGGTGGATATTCAACACAGACACCTAAAATTAACATAGCACCAGCATGTGCAATTTAATAGGATGGTTCCCACAACTCTTGCGTGACTGCAAACAGTACAGAAATGGTGCGACCTTTTCACTTCAGGCTTTTGGCAAACATATCCAGCACGTCTTTCTCCATTATTTTATGTATTAGTTCAAATTGATAATATGCACTAATCAGTGCTCAGGATTCTGTCAGCAATGATCGTGAAGACATTTAGAGTAGTGGTTCAACATGTTTTTTTTAATTGTAGGTAGCGCAGGCACACGGCTGCAATCATGCTGTCAAATCATTATCTTGAAATGCTGATTATTTCGGCATAGAAGTGCTCACTAAACGCAGATTTAGTCAGATTTGTGAATGACATTTGAGCTCCTTTTGCATTCGTAGAATAGGTTTTAGTTCTTTGAGTTGAGCATTTTGATTTATTTAAATTCTTTTTTCAGTGCATCAATTGTGACCACCCCGCGTCCCCTTATTCATGGGCCATGCTATCATTTGTTGCAATAGTTTTGTTCACCCAGTTTCATAAAACAGAACCTTGGGCCCAATGCAGGAAAAATACTCCTGCTGCCTCTCTGTCCACGTCTCGAAAAATGTATTTTACTTAGAGCATTTTAAAAAATCATTTTAACAGCTGCCGTTTTTTTTTTTTTTTTTTTATTTTACTTAGAGCATTTTCGAAATCATTTTAACAGCTGCCGTTTTTGTTTTTTTTTGCTGGTTTATTTATTTCCCCTTCCATTTGACTGGTCACGCATTTGTTTTCCACAAAGTCCTTGCATGTCATAAATTGCACCATCCTGAAACATCCTTGTTGAGAATTTTGGACTTTCCTAAGAGAGGTTTAATGTGCTTTCGAGCTGAAAGGTGAATAATGCGTCTCATAGTGCTGCTGTTCTTACCATTAAAATGCAACTCGTGTTATCTACAGAATACTTATGAGTACCAGAGAAATTGTTTGTGATGTAATTTATTTATGTTGCTCTTTTCAATTATTCATATGTTTATTTATTCATGGAAGAAGTCACTGAAATCTGAAATTGGAGAATGCATTTTTGCTGAAGGGCGCTTGGCCCCACTCTATCTTGCCAGACACAAAAAAAAAAAAAATAGTGCGAGGTGGGTTTTAGGCTTTTTAGTAATTGCTTCATGTAGTATTTACTTAAACTCACCAGATAATGGCTTGCTGAAGAAGGAAAGCGTTTACAAGCGACAAGAGAGCTGAAGACTGTCGGCTGTCTATGGTTCTATTTATGCTTTCAAATCTTCCTCTTGTTCTTGTCCAAATGTTGTGGAAAACCTGGTCATGGTTGAACAGTCAGCCATGACAAATTTGAGGAAAGAAGTCAATTGTCCAGGAAAATCGATCGACCTTAGAAATGACTTCACCCTTATATATCCAATACCGTATCCCTTTCAGGGTCACGGGTGAGCCGGAACATATCCCAGGCCAGCTGACTTCAGGCGAAAGGCAGACGACACCAAGGACTGCACAACCACTCATTTACATATTGACACCGTCATTGGGAAGGTAAGTGAAGTCATGCTGCCAGCACCAAACTAAGATGAGTGGACCACATCTACCATTAATGAGTATGAAATAATTTCAACATTCTCCTATTTTTGTTCTGGTAATGAGAGCAAACAGTGAGGCTGTAACTTTGCACACTCAACAAAAACTGGTCAATTCACATGCAGTTTGTGGTTTATCAATGTCTGACTATTTGAATTTGTGTCAACAGTGAACACACTTCCCTAAATACCATCACCTAGTTTGAGACATGCTTTACGTTGACTTTTTTTTTCTTCTATTTTTCAGGTTTTTTAATTTTTTTTTCCATAGCAATTAACTTTTTGCAATCTAAGATAATAATAAAAGCCAGGTAATGATAGCGCTCAGAGTATAAACACTGTTCATTGTTAAATTGACATATTCACCATCTCACTTTTTTTTTTTTTTTTTTGCTTTCCATTACTCAGTTTTTGTGCTAAGACCCAAGCCCTGTCTACTGTAAAACTATTGCTTTGGCATCATCTTGTAGCATCTTGGTGCCGAGGCACTGTAATCAAGTGAGGGGAAATGCTTCATTTAGTCCGGCAATAGCCCTCCCTGTCAAATAAGAAAGAGTATTGCTATATGTCATCTATGGGCAACTCTAAAATATCTTGGGAGGGGGTGTCGATTACTCTTGGATTTTTGCTTTTCCGCAAATAGCGGAAATAAAATAAAAAGGAAAAAAATCCTTTCTGCCATGATAGGTAAAAGTACTATATCACATATAAAAGGGTAAATTTGTCAAGGCAATATCATACCAATCCATAACATGAAACTAATGAATAGAATGTTGAACTTATTTTTTGTTTTGTGTTTCACCAGCCTTAAGTGACACATCTAACGAAAAACCTGTCCAGCATATAGATTGGAAGAGAATACTAAAATGTATACATACTACACCCACGACATACTACAAGGGCTACAATTTTGATAAATATTTGACAGTGGTCAAGGGAGGTTCAATAAAAATCATTTAAATCCCCCTCTTATGTGTAGCACCTCCTCTCGAGTTAGTCGTCGTTTCGTTTATTATTACAGCCTGTCACTGTCTAATGAATTATGGTGTTGTGGGTGTCATGACAGCTGATCAAGGGTGTTGCAATCTCCTCTTTCAAGGTGTCAATAAACAGCACAGCCTGCAAGCAGTATGGCATGACAATTTGTATTGTTCTGCGGGCATAGTACATTTATTTTCATCTTGATCCACCTGGATCGCTTTACAATATACTGTAGTTCTTTTTAATTAGCTCAGATTGATTAAAATCCATCGATTCTGCAGCCTTATTTACATTCACCCTGTCCGACACTCTTCGTCCTTATTTTTCACAATTAATTGAAGAGCACGGCAGTTTGGAGGGCGAGGCACCGGTGACAATTAGTAATCAAAGCGGCGGTTGAAATTATTTATGGAGGCAAAGTGACAAGTTTTTGATGAGTGTGTTCTGCCTTGTGCGTTGATGGATACTTGACAGTGGAGCTGCTGACTTCAAGTGCCACAAGATGAAAGATTCAACTGGGCTTTTGTTTTGTTTTAGCCAGTTCAAAGCAAGCCAACGGTCACCCCCTTCCTCCCCCACCTTCTCCCGCCACTGACCTTGGCTGCATGTGCATTTATAAGCACGCATGCATGCATGCATGACTGTGTGCTTGCATCATTCCGAACCTAGAGGGTTGATTAATTTTGATTGATGACTCCATTTATCTTTGGAATAACAATTCTCTATTACCCTTCAACGCCATGTCTGCAGCCATCACGGCCCGGTATGAAAGTGATATGACAAACAAAATGAGAAATTTGCTATTTGACAAGGAGCTTGATAAAATGGTTTCATAGTTGGTCTTGATGCATGGAAATGTTATGCTAATGGCAGTTTAGTTGGAAATTAATCAGGAGACCAGATGTGGGAGAGAATTTTGACTTTCAATCTGACCTTCAAAAAAAAACACTTTTGTGGTTCCATTGATGGCGAAAATACAGTTAACCCAAAAAATGTTTTACCCATTCTGTAAATAAAAACGTTTTAGAACATTTAAAAAATGTTTTAGCCATGCCCCAAATGGGTGAAAACAGTTCAATAAAGACCCATTCTCCACTGTTTTTAGTCTTTGAACAGTTCGACGATGTATTTACAAACAAATATCCGAATCCGCTTCACAGGGTCTTTAATACAGTTACAAAATAGAGGAAACAAACAAAAAAACGTGTATTAAATGAGAAGAGGTAGAAGAGGTTACTCTCTAACTTCACTTCCCCCAATATTCCTCACCCTTATTCGCCCTCTTGCTAACTCTGAATGTCATCACAAATAGCCACGGGGTATCGTCTGTGTGATGGGATGAGGAGAAAAAAATATCCACTTCAAATATTTGACACTGCAGCTTAGCACTGACCGATGCAGTAATGTAACGTGTGCTGCCATATTGCAAGTTGCCATTTTATGACTGACACTACAACTCCTCACACATGCATGTGGAAGTCACCTCATGAAAATACCTCTATTTTGATGTATGTTTTCTTTAGTTAACCTATTCTTCTATACAAATTTTGTCTTTTCCATGCATTTTTTTAATATCGGGAAGACAATACACAAACACAGGAGTCCAATTTTTTTTTCTGGATAAATCAACATTCAACTTAAAATAATTGGTAATTTACTAGAAAAGTACTGCGCACTTTCCTCTGCCAAATATTCAAATGTATACTCTCTGAGCGTTTGTAACCCTTCCTGTCTAAAGCTTGCAAGTTGTCATTAGAGAGAGTCACTATCAAATGGTGCTAATTTTGTGCAGCGTAATTAGCCCGAACCCTTAATGAGTTTGCAAATTGAAAGAAAGCAAGTCTAATGATCTTCTCTCCTCTGGGATGAAGAGAATAAATAAAAGGATACAGTGTTTGTTTTAGTTTGTTTTCCACCGTGTTACAGGTCTCTGATTTTTTTTTTCCACCCCAGGAGACATCTGGTAAACCATTCCTTATTTTTATAATGAATCATCAGCCAGAGGGAAAAACAATATTATCCAGTCTGTAATATTGTACTCTGGAGTCTAATAATCTAATGTACACCCAAGTCTCCGTCATTAAAGTGCCATTGGCGCTCTGGGAGATGGGAGGTGCACATCTGGCCGCCTCACAATCACAAAGCTGCTTTCAGTTTCTTTTGTTGCGAACTCCCTGATGCAAGGACACACACAAGCACAAGCAGATGCTGCCTTTACAAAGCTAATCAGACTCAAAATCATCTCGATTGGCCACATACGTTACTGTGCATGTCACTAGTTACAAACAAGGAGGTGAATGACAACAATTATTTACAATAATGTGAAAAAAGTCGAGTCAAAGGCCTTGTTGAGACTGTCAGCCAAATGTTTAGATTTTTAGCCCATCCACATTGAACCCAGATGGCTCTTTTGTTGTCTGAACAGTAACACAGCACGAGATGGATTGAAACCACATTTGGGAGCTACTGTCATCTCGCATTGGGACAGGATGCATCTCAGTCTGAACAGCTCCAAACACACCAAACGGATTTGACTGTTCATGATGTCAGACGCGACGCAGGACCCAATGGGCCAGACCAGGGAGCGCCAATCAGGGACGTACTGCGACCAAAATTCAGCCAAGGAATATTTTGAATGGGAGCCATCACGCAAGAACACGTAATTGTTGATGGACTGGAGGTGGTTTTTCGGGGGGTGGATGGTGCAAATGGCGGCAGTCAAACGCGTAAATGTATTTGTCGCCAGGACAAGACGGAGTGGGGGGGGGGGCGTGAAAGTGTGGAGCAGTGACGTCAAACACTACACGTGCTGAACTACGCCGCAGGTCGTTGACGCAGCAGTTGCAAATGCTGCATTCGAGGAAGGCGAGTGGTCGGATTTATCTCATTCGGATTGTCCTGGTTCCGACCTCAAAGCGTTCGAGGTGAATATAAACAACAAAGATGGTTATTTGTTGTTCACAATACATTTTAACCTCCAGAAAACCTTCATAATTTCTCTCATTTATGCAAATAAAGCTAGATGTTATCTTCAAAGCATTTCATTCATTTCACCAAATAATGTAGGAAGATAATGGCATATATTCACACAGTCATTGCAAATCATGTTGTGTTATGTGAAGTTATGTCCAATAGCTAAATTAATGTAATAATAAATAAAGAGAGATCAATAATGTATGTTTCGAATCTTGTCAGTTATGTTTTGCCATTCATGGGAGCTCCGCTGTATTTTACAGAGCACTTTAAAACAACCACCGCTGTACATGGAGCAAAAATAATTCAGACAACAACAAACAAATTAACGGATGTCACATTGAAGTCGGTTCGCAACTCGGACCTCGCAGTTCAAAAATCCAACTTCCCATTTTTCTCGAATGCAACATTGGTTACGAATCCAATCTGAAGTCGTTTGCTGACATTAGGATTTAAAGAGTGAGTCCACCCCCCTTGTGATTACATTTTTTCAGACGAGTCGGTAGACGAGACACTTTTGAAATGAGAGTTGTGAGAATGTTTGTGTTTGTCATCATGGTTAAAGCGAACAGTGTGAGTTTGTCTTTGCCATTATTATGTACACTGTTGTGTACATACCGCCCTATTGAACCAGATTGGACTTTGAATCCAGCGTGGCCAATCAGCCCTTTGTGATTTGGTTGCTTATCAAGAGAAAGGGCTTGTACTGATTCTCCTTGATCAGCTGTTGTGGCTTCCTCACAGCAGGGGAACGGGGTAATAAAATGTTCCAAAATAAAAGCAGCACCTGCCATTAAGGAATCCTGTCGAGAAGTTGAGATGCGTTCAGTCGTTCAAGGAGTATTTTTGGTCTTACTAAGTGTTTCGACAACAAGATTGAGAAAAAGAGGAATTGATGTTTTGCTAAAGTGGCAGGTTACTGTATATTGTGTCTGAGAGTGTGCCTGGAAGATTGCTGAGCATATATTTATAGCGTTGTGGATTTATTTTGTTCTTTCGGACAAAAAGGACATTGATGGGGTGTAGTCACGTTGCATCTGTGTTTTGATGGATTGCAATGGGGAACGTAACTTTTGTCTATAATTTGAAGTGTGGGTTGTTGCTCCATGAAGACGTCCACGCTCAAACAAACACAAATCTCATCGTTCTCATGTTTTGTGCGATAGAATCTGTAAAAAAAAAAAAAAAACATCCACGCTCAAACAAACACAAATCTCATCGTTCTTATGTTTTGTGCGATAGAAACTGTAAAAAAAAAAAAAAAAAAAACTCTTTGCAGGGTTTTTTTTTCTTCATATTTTCTCACACTCCTTTGCGCTATGTTTGTACTAATGTGAAGGTCCAGTGTCTCTCTTGGCTGTCTGAACTCTGGTCCTCTCCATGTTGAGAGCATAAGTATCCGTATGTCAAGAGGCACTCTGTCAACTTGTTGGATGGCAAAATCAAAGCTTGCTTTCGAAGCGGTAATTCTCAAATAAATCATTCTCACCATCTTGTTATACTACTTCTCATAGACATAAGTATGCATAATTGTCTTTAGTCTCTACTGTATGTGGTTTGTTTTGCATACTGAATACAAGCCATAACAAGGGTCTCGACACGAACTTTTGGACTGGTCGCACTGGTGTGACCACAGTATGTTCGTCTCAATTGGCACACCGTGAATGAATATTTGTAAAATATTTTTCTGTAACAACAAACGTTTGAAACATAACTTAGATCATCAGCAAAAGAACCCCATTCCGAAAGTGAAGCGGTGGCAGCATCATGCTTTTGGGCTGTTTTTTTCTTCAGATGTATTGGGAAAAGGTGGAAGGAATTAGGAACAGTTTGAAACACTAGTCACTGTTAGCACAAACCCTTCAGGCTTCTGCGAGAAAGCGATAAATGCCAGGGGAAACGAACAACAAAAAATTATTTCAAAGTTATTCAGAAGCACTTTCAATAGTGGCAGGTGTTTTTTTTTTTTTTACATTTACATACCCAGTGTTGCTGCGCATAATATTCCGCCGTGCCAATACAACTGCCCATCAGCTGCCAGGCCATGGCATGTTAAGTCGGTACCCCCAACAGTGACTAATAATTTGTTATGTCAATGCTTGTCGTGCCCGTTTGCCTGAATGGAGTCGACTGTGGTGATCCATCAGGCCCGACGTCACCTCAAGTGGTTGCGTGTCGGTGGGGCGAACACGCCCTGCACGTGTGATTTACTGGCTGCCCGTCGTGGCGCTTGCCCCTCGCCTCTTAGCCTCGCCATGCAGCTCACTCCCCTCCCTTGCTTTCCTCAGCTTTCCTCGCAGACCGGATTGATTACCGTCGCGGCTGGCTCATGACACTCACCATCTTTTGGCAACCTTTTAGTGCCATTTTATAGATGTTTAGCGCACCTCATTTGGCTATTTATACATCTGTAAGTGGCCATGAAACATAGATTTGTCTTGATGGGTGTCAGCGGCGGCACTGCGGAAGCTGAGCTCTCGCTGGCACGTCGTTATTTTAATGGTGTGAGATGAAGAGGCCACATGTCGGTAGTCATTTTCAAACATGCTTAAATGGTATTGTTTTTATTTTCATCAAATGGCCACACTCATATTTTACCGAGAGCAATAAGCCAGCTTCCGTTCATGAAGTGTTTATTGGTGCTGGGAGACGGAAATGGCGAGTGGAGCCCGGTGAACGTATACGCAACACGCACACCCATTGATATATTCTATGTGGATGTTTAAATTCTACCGAGAACAACAGTAACTTGCTGTGAAAGCTGTCATCCACGCGTATGCATATTCACAGGCAAGGTCTCACAGGTAATTAGGCGCTGGCACACGTTCAACGTGATGCGCGGCTTAATTGAATAGTTAATAACTCCAAGGAAGGGCTGCTCACATTGGAGGTGGCACCTGTCACCGAGCTGTTCTATCCCAGCCATCCACATTTTTTTCTGCTCTGCCTGGTTCAGAATGTCACTGTTGGTGCAAAGCCAAATTAGGGGCAGGCAAGCTGGGTGGGTGGTGAATAGCAGGTGGCTGGATGGCTGGAGGGTGAAGGGAGGCAGGTGCCCGCTCTGCCCTTCAATGAAGCTTCATCCGCACTTCCCCTCAGGCCTTTTCCATGGCCATGTGACAGGGAAGTGACTGTGTGTGTGTGTGTGTGTGTGTGTGTGTGTGTGTGTGTGTGTGTGTGTGTGTGTGTGTGTGTGTGTGCGTGTGTGTGTGCGTGTGTGTGTGTGTGTGTGTGTGTGTGCAGACATGCTTCATGGTAGGTACAGTGCCTGCTGCGTGTGTGTGTGTGTGCCTGTATGCATGTCATCCTGGCTCCCTCAGGCGTGAATATGAAGTGGGACTAGGGTGTCCACCCCAAAGCCAGGTAGACCATCAGTGTCATTAAAGGAGACTTTTTGTCCCTCGATAAAATAAACATACAGTCCAGTATATGTCTGACAGGATGGTCAGCAGGAGATTAGCGCTTGAGAGCGGCGTGCACATTCTTGGAGCCACAGCACCCAGCGGGTCGGCCGCCTTACTTATGTTAAATGAAGTCTCTTCATACAGTATGTATGAATTAAGCCATTATAAACCGGCTGGTGCTCTCCAACATTTTTTCGCTGCACAAGATTGTCATGAAAGACAAACTGCACACATTAAAACATAAAGAAGCGTATAATGAATATTTCTCACCACAACGGAGAATCAGCGGGTGTCCTCAATTTGGTCTCCGTGTGGTGAAGCACTTTTGAAGGCCTCATTGACTTAACAGCAGCCAACACAATATATTATGCACAGCCAGCTTGGAGCATGTGAATTATAATTTGTAAGAGATTTAAGTATAGAACTCCTGATATTTTCGGAGAAGTACAACTTTCTTTGTTTTGGCCATGCTGTACTGAAGTCTTTTCTATCGGGTCATTGAGTTTTTAGTCGTTTTAGTGTGTAGCGTTCATTTGCGGCCTCATTTCTCAAAATGGTGACAGAGAGAAGCATGGGAAAGAAGCACAGATGGAGTTTCCAGGGGATGCTTTGGCCTTTTTTTTTTAAAGAAAATACAGATGACAACATTTTAAAAATAAATGTATTATACAGTACTTATTTTGCTTATTTAAAAACAAGCTACAAAATATTTTGTTGGATAATGACATTTCCAGATACAGATGTGTTCCCCATTTTTCCTCTTCTATTGTATGCTTGTTATCAGATTTTCCTCTTTGCCATATCCTTCTGTGTTAATATTTGGCATATGTATTATGAAAAAGCCAAAGAAATAGTCAAACATTCGCTTTCATGACTTTGGAACTTGTTTAATGAACAAAAACAGTGAACCATTTGCCACTAAAGCTTCCTTTACTTTTCACTCGACTTTCTATTCAATTAATGAGAGAATGTTATGCCAAACTGTTAAGGGTGACATTGAATTTAATTTACAGGAAACCCCAAGAAAATGACACACAAGCCATATGTAACTTTCTCTCCTCTACGTATGCTTGTGTGGGCAAACTGATCAATGGGTGAATCATTTGCGAGAAACAATCTGGTGTTTAACTTAGCGGCTAAAGTGGGACGGGAGCATTTTAAGCAGCACCTTGGCAAAGGTCTCATGTTCATTCATCCACTGGGGCCCGTGGATGACCACCTGCCATCTGCCAATAGACATTAGGGAGGATTTAGTAATTAAGTGATAGGCTAAGGACTAAATTGGGTGTTTGAGGTCCCTACAGCCATGCAGATAGGGGATTCTAATTGCCCGGAATATTGATTACACGGTAAGGGGTGTGCACAGTCAATTCATGAGCTATCGATTAGCTGTTACTCCTCCTCACTTGTCAATGGAGGAGTATCCCTTCACCGCAGCCACAGTCAAGCGGCTTCTTTCACATGGCAATAGTATGCAGTAATATTCCCAGATTCTCATAATACTGCATATGGAGCCATTTGTGAGGCCATCTTAGAGATATTACAGACTCCTCCACTCATGTAAACAAACATTTTTGAAATGCCAGCAAAAACGATTGTGACATATCGTCTACTCAGCAAAACAATATTGGAGATTCTGAATGATCTGAGGGCTAATGTGGCCAGTGACAAGAAGGAGTCATGCAATATCAACAAGGACAAAACTGTTTTCAGCTCTATATTTTCATGCATCGGACTCATTTTAGTGCACTGTAACTGTCCTCCCGCAGAGTAGTTTTTCGGGCAGGTTGTCCAATGTTTTTAACGCAATGTTACACAAGTAGGGCACATAGTTACCTCACACCCATCTGAGTTAAATCAAACAAATCACGGCTTTTATGCAGTTGCTGCTTCCCCAAAATTAGCAGAGCAATTGATTTTAAGTAATAGTTTTGTTCGTCTGCTTCTCGAGCACTTCCAATTCCATCACTTCAAACTTGGTTTTGTGCTCGCGGTGCTCTCCTAAGGTCATGATCGTATAGTGGTTAGTACCATGCGTTGTGGCCGCAGCAATCCAGGTTCGAGTCCTGGCGGCCCTGTGGTTAGCGCGTCGACCTCACAATGCAGAGGTACCGGGTTCGATTCTAGTTCCGGCCTTCCTGTATGGAGTTTGCATGTTCTCCCCATGCCTGCGTGGGTTTTCTCCGGGTACTCCGGTTTCCTCCCACATTCCAAAAACATGCATGGCAGGCTGTTTGAACGCTCAAAAAATTGTCCCTAGGTGTTAGTGTGAGCGCGGATGGTTGTTCGTCTCTGTGTGCCCTGCGATCGGGTGGCAACCGGTTCAGGGTGTCCCCCGCCTACTGCCCGAAGACGGCTGGGATAGGCTCCAGCACCCCCCATGACCCTTGTGAGGATAAGCAGATCAGAAAATGGATGGCTGGATGGTGCTCTCCCAATTGTTTTATTGTGACCAAAACCCTCTTTTAAATATTGGATACAAGTTGTCGGTGTTTCCTGTGCAAAACCATCAATACGGAGACGGCATGCCGAATGATGGTCCTTCTTGCCTACAATTCCCTAATAAAGTAGCCTTACAGATACAAACGGCTTTGCCATCCCAGGAGAAACGATTGTTAGTCTGAAGCACTACACATACTTGAACTTGCCACCAAAGAAGAATGGTCGTGTTTGACACGTTGCTTCAGAAAAGTGGGCAACTCTGGGCTCAAAGGGATTTCAGCGGCGTGTGAAGGTTTGCCACACAGAAGTCTCTAACCTGAGTCATTTAGAGCCTATTACAAAGCATCAATATATTGATCCAAACAAGTGTCTCGGTGTACTGCTCCGTAAACACACCGGCGCTGCTTTTATCTGCTTGAATCTTATCAGGATTCAAATCTTTTTCTCTTCAAGTCACTATTTATGGTCCTACAGATTTGGAGCGAAACATTTGAATGATTGCACCTTTAGTTTATGGGGGATTTCTTGGTAGGATTTAAGGCCTGACTGTTGGACAAATTGGGGTTTTTGTTTGACTTTCATGTTGAACATTGTGACATTTCGCCACTGCTGCATTTCTTATAGGATTTAAATTACTCAAATATTCCAAAGATTCAATATTCACATCTTTTGAGGATAGACTCTCATTACTTTTTGTGCTGTGTTTCCATGAGAACTATATGACAATTAAAATTAGTGAGATATGTTACCTTTCATGTCCTCTACAGTGGGAGCAAGAATTGGCTTCTTCGGGGGCTGCATGCGGTTGTAAGTGAGGGGGGCTTTCCCATTATTTTCCTCGATTATTCTGGGAAAACAAACGGTAAAAAATTGAATATCATACAGAGAGTCGTTTATTTCTGTAGTTCAATTTCAAAAAAAGTGATATTCATACAGATGTTTTAATCTTAAAAAAAGGATTGTAATGTCTTAAGATGCACCAACATATCACAGCATAGGCAAAACAACTACCGGTACTAGAATTTCGCACAGTGCGGCATTGGAAAGAAGATTTTAAATCACAATGGTTCTTTCTCCTTGTTAAATAAAAGGGGGGTGCGATGGGGGGTTACTTACTGGTGTATGTCATAAAGCGTGTGGGACACTTTATACACGACTTCCACCCCATGTTCTTTGGCTAGTGCGGCCACCTTCTGGTCACGGGATACGCTGTAAGGCTCTGCGTCAAACTCGTAGGTCAGCTTTGTTATTTTCCACTTTGTGAACAGTTTGGGGAACATGTCTTCCGGCTTGCCTCTCACAACAAACAACCTAAAAGATAGGGAAAGAAAAGACATCAGTGACTAAAATGACCTTTAGCATGATCATAGTGTTATTGCTGAATGTCTACCTAGAGTTGAGCAGTCTGAGGCTGCAGTCCAAGTCTTTGAGCGCCCCCAGCAGGAACCGCCAGCGGTTGATGCCCACCCATTTCTTGTCAAAGAGATGTGGATCGAGGATGAACACCGGATAGAGCTCTGTGCAGTCCCTCAGAGTCCATCAGCGCCGGGTTGTCGTGCAGCCGCAGCCCTTTACGGAACCAGTGGATGCATCTCTGACCCATTTCTGTAGACACGGGACAAAACGCTGTCAAACACTGTCAAAATACAGTGGGGATATTTTAAAAATGCGTCACTGTTATTATTGTAGTAACCACAACGTTAGGTACACCTGCAACATCAAAACAGATGCTGAATAGCATAAGGCTGAGTGTCTGTTATTTCTCAGTGTTATATACAAAACTGTAGAACTAATATTTTCAAAGTGTTTACGTTGTTTAGTAACATTTACATTTTATTAATTTAAACAAAAAAATAAATTAAAAGCAATAAATGCATTTCGGCAGCTTAAAGCAAATGTACAAGGTGGATCAGTAACTATTAAACAAATAGTTTTGTACGGCAGTTTAATCTGAGGTAAATATCTGGTTAATTTCATTTCTTTTTGTTTTATAGTTTCACCGACAAAAGTATGCAGTTTGATCAGTTGTTGTTGGTGTGAAGAAGAGTGCAGACGTCAAATATTAAACAGCATCAACTTGGGGAGTTAACGCCACTAAATTAATTTGTCAATGTGCACACAGACTGGCCCATGACAACAAACATAATGCAAAGTCAATGAATCTACCTGAAAACGTCTTTTATTCCGCTCAACCGATGCTTGTAGTTGCTAGATTTGTGTTTGGTAACAACCACGTTGAAGAGTTACGAAACAGGAAGCGTGCTAGCCAATCAGAGGAGGACAGAGGCGGGGCGTCAGAGATACCTACACGCGCTACATTATTTTTCATATTCCAAAAATTCCACAACCAAACCCCCATTCATTTTCAATAAGAGATTCCTGAATCCCATTCTAAATTTAAAATGTCCGGCTCTTTCAAATCACCTTGGGAACTTTTTATAACATTCTGAGAATTCCCACGTTGCCTAAATTTGACATTTTTCACAGTAAAACTTTCCACAATAAAATCCCCACATTATGACACATTGTACATCATTAGTCCCTCTTTTTGAGTTTTTTTTTCCTCAGGAACTACAGTACTCCCTTTCCCCAAATTCCCTAAATTGTCATTCAAAACATCCTAAATTAGGAGACTTTTAAAAACACGTTTAGATCAATGTGGCCGATTACACGCATTCCCACTTCAAAATGTTCAGTTACTTCAGCATGAATTGGAACTATTCCCATTCTCCAAATTAGAAACGAAACTTCATATTATTCACGCTCCCCTCCAGATTTCTTGACCGATTATTCCATTTCAACTTCTACATTTTCTGCGCATTCAGGGCATATGCTTACCTATTCACGTTGCCAGAACTCCCCCAATTTTCAAATAAAATTCAAAATCATGAAACCTCTTCGCCAATGTGGCGAGACAGAATCAAAATTTCCTCGCCTCACTGAAATATGTTTTTTACGTGCGCCGCGCATACGTCAAGACATTGTAGCCTAAATAACACAAAACGTATTAAGACTTGAGAGAATTTTTCTTTCCCCGGAATAGTGGCATAAATTCAAGTACTGTATTGCTCATGAAAAGTAATGATGATATGATGAAAATAAATCGCATCACACAGTGGGGCCACCAAATTTGCAACATTTCTGGATTTTCACATTTGTTTCCTGCTGTTGTTAATCACGGCGGGCTTTAAATTGAGAATTTTGCGGTGTTGATGGTGAAATGAGTGAAATTGCCATGGTCATGCTCTCATCACTAAAGAGGATGATACCACGCGCTCGTCTCCTGATTGAAGCTCTCACCATTTGCGCACCGCTAAGTGTCACCCTCCGGCCAAGCTCACAAATTGAATTAGTTTCAGTGTGAATTTATGCTTCAAAACTAGTAATTATGTTTTAACCCCAGCGGAAACAAGCAAAATGAGTCCTATCTTCAAAAGTGGTGAAATGCTGTGAGCTCTGATTAAACGCCAACCGAAGGGACAAAAGTTGGAAGCGCAGCAATTTGCCAGCCATTCATCTGTTGGCAAATTCAATTACACTACACTTGACATCTTTTTAGAAAGTTTGATAAATCTGATGGAAAAAAGTTACTCTCTCAATTACCATCTGAAATTAATCTCCTTAATCCCAATTTGATTTTTTCCCCCATGTGTATTAAAGGGTATCTCTCATCTGCACACCTTTGTGATTTAAATCTCTGTCACAGTTGTGACCGCCGAACACCTCAAGAAGATGGCGACGTGATTAAAACGGAATGTAACTCATTTAATCGCTCTACAAAGATAATGACGCTCCATCTTTGATTGATGCTGTCAGTTTGTTTAGCACTGTTTATCATTGTGCTACATCATGCTTCGAAATGTGGCTCATGTTTTGCTTGCCTGATCGATCTGCACGGGTAGCATAGCCAAGGCCGTGGGTGTGTCTGAGTTTGTATGTGCCTGAATGTCTCGTCATTTTCTTCATTCACTCTTGCTTCTTACTTGACCGCATGGTTATTCCTCGACACCTGCGGGGCGGCAACCCGCGACTCCAGAGCCGTATGTAGTGCCGCCCTAGTGGCTCCATGGAGCTTTTTCCAAAATGTTTGAAAATGGAAAAAGATGGGGGAGGGAAATATATTTTTTTGATTTAATGTGGTTTGTGCAGGAGGACAAAAATGACACAAATATTCTTAACGTTTTCCAATGCTGTAAAAATGTGTTGAATAAATATTCAATTTCAACATTTCTGTCAACAAAGATGGCATGCGATACACGTTTCTATTAGCAGGGTGGGATGCCTGGCAGGTGGCTGTTGTAAAAAAAAAAAAAAACGCGTTTAATGTACAATTCACCGAGGGTGCTGCAAAGAATGGGAATGTGGAGGGCCGAGAGAAGCATTTTTAAAACGGTACACGTGCGCTACGATAATAATTAACACGCCGCAAAAGTGCGTCCCATGACCGGATCATCTTAGGGGCCATTATGACTGTTGCTAATTATGACATGCATGTGTAAGTGCGCGCATATGCGTGCGTGTTCGGTAGCATGTCGATTGCAGGAGGTTGGTTGATCGAAAAGTAGATCTTCGGTCAAAAAATGTTCAGCACCGCAGGGGAAAAAAAACATTTAATCATGAGGGCTCATTTTGTATTTGTAGCCAACAGATAGTCGGCTAATCTCGATACATACAGCATGTGTTGCCTTCCTTATAAGGCCTATATTTTTTTAGTGTCTCTAGACATATTTGTTTTTGGGGGGTTTTTTGGTCCAATGTGGCTCTTTCAACATTTTGGGTTGCCGACCCCTGCTCTACACTGATGGACTCCTGCGTGTGTGTGTGTGTGTGTGTGTGTGTGTGTGTGTGTGTGTGTGTGTGTGTGTGTGTGTGTGTGTGTGTGTGTGTGCGCATTCACAAGCAGCGAACGTCTGTCCTTTTGCTCGGATTAGAGCGGTGAATGCTGCAAGAGGATGATCAGACTGGGAGCACACCAGGGTTGCTGTGCGATCACAGAGGGATTATGGGGGATATGGTGCTGTAGTGCATTGCTGGGCTGCCTCCAGTTAGGCCCATCGCTCCGCCACGCTCCCCTCACACACACCACTGTAATTGCCTTTGCTTCTTTCATTACTTTTATTGCCTCTCCTCTGCATTGCGTGCTCCCCAGGCTTGCGGAAAGGTCATTGTGATGGCGGATGTGCGTGCGCGTGCACACACACGCATAGACACACAGTCCCTGACAAGCAGAAATTGGCTGAGGCACTAAAGCCGGAGAAACGAGTGACACAAAGGGGTGGCCGCTAACATGCTGAGCAAATTTTAATCACATCCATAATTCACGATATCATACTAAGGCGGTAAGGAGACCAGAATTATAGTTGTGAATGAAGGTGCATCACATACAGAAGTGACTCTCGGTTATTTTTAGGGGCTGCTCATGAAGATGGTAAACTAAATAAATATAATCTCATCTCCACAAAGGAGGCTTGGTTGGGCGGCAGCGTTGATGGCGTTATTCTGGTTGTTGGGATGACCGACCGTGTTCGGACCTTAATGCCAAGTACTCAGGATACAGTACCACAGTAGGCCATAATAGTGTGCAACAGCAACTAGTGCCGTTATGTTTCACCATAGTAACAAGTAGTTGTCCCACTAGTATGCCAAAGTTGTGCATGGAATCATCATACAGTAGTGGGAGGCAGTAGTGAAGTAAAAGTGACTAAAACAGTCGTTCTACTAGTTTGCTGAATTGTCTATGAGGACAAAGTGTCCTCTTCTCGCATGTGCTGGTTGCTCAGATAATCCTGTCGATATAAATCTGGCATTCACATACCCTCATGGCAGATACGCACTCCGGATTGAGCAACCTTATTAATGGATGCGTTTATATATGTCCCCTGATATGACTGAACAGAGGTACCTGGAAAAAAATGGTGACAAAAAAGTTTTAAAGACTATGAAAAATAACTTCATATGTGATAATGAGAATTGATGAGTATTAATTGATGAGTAGAAAAACTGTCTTCCACTTATCCGTTGTCAAGTTGTAGTGGCGCAATTCTAAGCGGGGAGACCCAGAGTTTGTCCACCTCCTCGAGGCCTTTCCTGTCCAGTCAAGAGAGTGCCCTGTTTTTTTTTTTTCCCAAATCCTCCTGAAGACTGACCTCAACTGGAAAGCATCCAGGAGGCATGCTAATTAGATGCCCGAGCCGCCTCATCATCCCGAGTGACAGAGCTTCTCACCCTCACTGTGACATTATTCTACTGTCATCAAAGGCGTTGCAAACTTTCCATGTCACCCACCCAATGAGTCTCTTGTGGCCAGCCAAATTCATTTCAATATGCAGTTCACACATCCCTAAAATACGTAGAGCATTTTAAATCCGGACCCAGACCTACTCTATAAAATTCGCCTTGTCTGGTGGTACTGGAGCGAGGGTCATATGTTGATGGACGGGTGTCTCACAGTTGAAAAACCATCTCCACCGAGCCAGCCAGGAGGACTCAAACGTAAGCCACTTGGTATTTGCTTGCATTACACTTCTCCCCGACATCCACTAGAATGGAAAAGGAGGGAAATACGGGCTCAATCGGGGGATGCTTTTGAGGTGGATGGAGGGAATTCAGAGGTGGAGAGATGTGAACCCAATCTGCTATGTGTTGACTATACTGATGAGGGGCTTTTGCTGAGACCAGCTTCTCGATCCCATCATTCCTTGTGTTTACTTTGGGCCAGACTACCGACACCACAGCGACCTTCCCTCTCTTATCCTCCCAGAGTTAGCCTGCATCAAGAAGAGAGGCGCAAACCATTAGCGTGAGGCTGTGGTCCAAATGAAAAAGATGGGGGGCACACACTGGGTTTGTTGGCTTCAGTGAAAGTAAGCAAGCCAAAGAGAAGTTTGTTTTTACATGCAGTGAGAAGAAAATGCCAAAGCAAATCTTTTTTTTTTTTTTTTTTTTAATGCTTATTTGTAATGTACATTATTTGTTTGTGTGGGATGGTGGTTTTTTTTCTCTTCTTTAGCTCACAAGTAAAATGCAGTTTTAACAAACGAGCAAACACAAAAGCGTAAAGATCAACAGAATGTTCAGTTTATTTTGCTTGGCTGCCTGACTTCTGTGCTTCTCGTTTCTAAGCAGAATTCATAGAGCAAAATTTCCTGACAAGCCGATGAAAAACTAGGCTTGAGAAAATTGTCCACTGTGGGAAACTATCGCAAATTAGTGTCTGACTGAACTGGAAGTCAGATATGAATACAATACGAAATGAATACAATAAAGG